GTTGTCTGATTGCTGAGGCTAGGACTTCTAGTACTATGTTGAACAGCAGTGGTGACAGTGGACATCCCTGCCGTGTTCCTGACCTTAGGGATAAAAGCTCAGTTTTTCCCCATTGAGAATGATATTCGCTGTGGGTTTTTCATAGATGGGTTTGATGATATTGAGGTATGTACCCTCTATGAGGGAGAATGAATCTTAAGCAGGCTCCACGCCTACCACGGTGCCCAGTGTGGGGCTCCATCTCAAAACCCTGAGATCGCGACCTGAGCTGAAATCAAGTTTGACAGGTAACCCACTGAATCACCCAGGTGCCCCTCCATGCTATTTCTGATCAGCAACAGAAAGCCATTGTGCAGGGCATGTGAATGCATATTGAGCGGCATGAATTTCTGAGTAAATAAATACATGTTAGTGTTTACTATCCTCACTTCTTAAGCAAAGAAGTACTATAATAAAAACAGTTTAGGGGCACCTAAACTAGCATTTTTAGTAAAGGGGAGAATAGGTGAAGTACTACACTCTAGGGTATTTTTGTATGATTGTGCATGTGTTTGCAAATTTTCATTGGCTTTATTTGTAGAACTAAAGTGCTAGACTAAAATATCAATGATCCTGACTCTTTAGTTGATTGAGTTACTGTACAAGCTCATTTTCCAGACAAGTTAAATAATTTGGCAGTCCCTGTTAGCAAAAAAAAAAAAAAAAAAAAAAACCAAAAAACCCACTGATTTGGGTACTAAGTGTCCTCCTATTCCAGAATATTTCAGAAGGCACAGTTCTTTGAAGAACCACAAGAGGTCAGGCTGATACCAAACACTGGCACCCAAGTGCCTAGACATGGTCTTCAGAAGCTGAACTCAGGAAATAAATGGAGGTGCTTGTTAGAACCAACAACAATTGTAAAAACATCAAAAAAATTCACTAAAATAGGATAATAAATAACGGGCTCCAAAAATTGTAGTTTATGATATAATTTCCATTGTTACTATTCATAGTAGCAATCTTGCCCATACTTGGGATTTACAAAGTGTTTGCAAAGGATTTATCACTATGATAACCTCACGAGATAGGCATGGCTAGCCCCGTTAAAGATGAAGAAAGTTAATCTTGCAGCAGTCAAGTTTTTGCACAAGGTAATGAGCTAATCAGTGAAAGAAGCAAAATTCAGAGTCAGGTCTGTCTAATTCCATCTACAGGACAGTCCCCAACATGACAGAGCAGTAGGGGATTCTAAACGATTGGAGGAGGGGAGAATTTCAGCTCTCCTTGGTGTCCTAAAGCCCTCACAGGGGAAAATTTCAAGGAGGAAAACACAATCCCACCATCCCCTTAGTCTAGATCTGCTTTGACCTCTACCGAGAAGCCATTAGTTTGGATGCCATGTCTAGAAGTCTAAAATAAAAACATAAAAGGGGAGAGGAAATTTAGGCCTAAGAAAGGCAAGACATTCAGAAATCTTAGCCCACTTCTCCTCCAGTTGTGAGAGCCCTGGCCTCTTTCTAGTCCTAGCCCTGCTAGGCCCGTGCCTTGCTCTTTGCCTCACAGAAGGGATTTCTGGCTGTCCCTGCAAAAGCATCCTTCACCTTCCCTGTCCTCCAGAGCCCTCAGAGAGTAGTCCTTTTCTGTCCTTGGTCACCATGCTAAAATTTTACACACACTGAGTGAAGAGGGTCCTCAAGATATAAAAGAGGAAGCATTTGGGCATAAGTTGTTTCTCCCACCCAATGGAAGAACTAACGACTTAGGTTTATTTAAAACACTTTATTGAGAGAGGTCACTGCTCAAACTTAAACCATCCAAGGTGGAAGGGTCTGCAGAGACCATCTTGTCCGATGGTACAGTTCAAGCAGGCCCTATAATCAGAAGCTTATTTTCTACACTCCTTGCCCGGGATTGTTCAAATATTCTACCCTGACTTTCTGCAATTTTTCTATGACCACCTTTGATCTTTGTAACAATGCTCGGAATGAAGCGTGGAAAGTGTTATTTTTTTCCAAGTATCTAGTGAGCAAATTGAGGCTTTGATTACTTTGTCTAAGATGACACAGCTAGTTAATGGTGTGTGGCGGAACAAATTCCCTAACAGGATTCCTCAGCTCCCTTCAGGGATCCCTGGAGGCCCGGACAATGGGAGAATGCAAAGTATGTCTCTGTTATGAAGGAGTCTGTTCCTAGGCCATTTGACTGTTTGGGTTTTCATTGTTGAAATCTTATATTCTGCCTAGTCATTCCCAGGGGAGCAGAGGAAGGGACAAGTGGGCTTGAGGAGGGAAGGGGCATCTAAACACTCTCAACAGTGAACCATCCCCAACTCCCTCTTTCATATCTGCTTTCTCAAGGGCAAAAGAGTCTGGATGGCAAGATCAGAGGGCCAGCTGCCAGGGAAAGGTGTCTTAAGGAGGTGTCTCTCTCATGTAAGAGACTTTGTTTTTTCTTTTCCTCACTGACCAAGATACCCTGTCCTCTGCTTCCACACTGCCTGTGCCTGGCCTGCTGTGGCCTCAATTACACATTGGGCTATGGCTATCTGCATCTTCTTTTTTGAAGATTTTATTTATTCATTTGTCAGAGAGAAAGAGAGCAAGAGGGCACATGCAGGAGGAGCAGCAGGCAGAGGGAGAAACAGGCTCCCCGCTGACCAGGGAGCCCGATGCAGGACTCGATCCCAGGACCCTGGGATCATGACTTGAGCTGAAGGCAGACGGCTTAACCGACTGAGCCACCCAGGCACCCCAGTTACTTGCATCTTCTCTGCTTCCCTAATGCAGATGAGATAGTGAGCTTATTGAGACAGTGTTTATAACTGATTTCTCTCTGTATCACCAGCACCCTGCACTGTGTCCTCCAAATAGTAGTTACCCAGTGACTCTTTGTGGAATACATGAAAGTATCAGTGATGATTCTGGAGTTTACAATCCTTTCTTGACTCAAGCACAAAGCTGCAAATGTGTACATCCATGACTTAAGTGTAAAATACATTAGCTTTTGAGAAAATTATCCTGTGGTTTAAAAGACCCCAAAGATTTTCCAGCCTTTTTTCTGTTTGGAGACCTAAAGGCAAGAGTACTGTCTGGGAGATAGGAGATATCTTGAAGAACTGTGGGGAAAAGTAGAACTTTAGCTGGAACTATGAGACGCCTGTCTTCTCGCAGCCAGGCCCTAAGATCTCTGGTAAGTACCACACCGCCCAACCTCGACAGTACAAGTGCCAAATTTCAACAAGAATCTGTATTTAATAGTCTCAGGTGCCTTAAACCTGATATATGTGATAATATTTTTAAACTCGGCTGTGTGATTCTTTTGCTGAGGCTTTCTCCATGCAAACTGTCAGAGGACTTTGTCAATATATAATCCTTTACTAATATCTTGAATAAATGATTCATCTCATGTATGCCCATGCATGTCTCTAATAACGTATTTTAATGAAGTCTACATGTCGTGACTGTAAGTGTGGTCCAGAGTGCATGGTGACCGTTGATCTTTATTTCTCTCAATGAGGATGTGTTGGAAATCAGCCATTGCAGATTGTGGGATATTCTAGACCAGCAATGAGGAGGAATATGTTCAAGCACTGGTTTCAGTGGTCTGCTCTTGCGGCATTGATGAGCCACATAAATTTCCCGAGGATCACTATTCACATCTATAAACTAGTAAATATAACATCGTTCACTGTATGTCTCAGGGTTATTGTGAGTCTCCACTCAGCTAATCCATATAAGAGTAGTTTCAATATTGTGAATCAGTACATAAACATGAGCCAGTGTTGTTTTAAAGGAACTGGGATGGAGTGAAGTGTGGTCTCTGTGCTCATGTTTAAATGTTACTTTATCCCACACAGATGACATCTGGAGGAGTTCAGGTTTACCTATCACATATTGCCTGTACTCTGGAATAAAATGCCTCAAATGTCATTTGCACACCAAATATTTACTCAGCTGACACTGAATTGAAAAGAATCTTAAAACTCCAGGCAACTCCCGAGAGACCACTAAAACTAAGGAGACATATTAGTGCATAGGTGCTACCTTCCCTTCTACAGGATCTGTGATGATAATTACTAATTAGTCATAGCATGTGTGCTCACCAAGGCTGGATGCACCCTCAGGATCCTTCTTCTTCTTTTTTTTTTTTTAAGATTTTTATTTATTTATTTGACAAACAGAGATCACAATAGGCAGAGAGGCAGGCAGAGAGAGGAGGAAGCAGGCTCCCTGCTGAGCAGAGAGCCCAATGCAGGGCTCAATCCCAGGACCCTGGGATCATGACCCGAGCCGAAGGCAGAGGCTTTAACCCACTGAGCCACCCAGGCGCCCCAGGATCCTTCTAAATAGAGCAGCTTAGGCAGCCATTACTATATTTTTATACAAATAGACCCTGAGACAGAGTAAGTTAATAATAAAAACATTAGACCTTTGTTTTCAAGAGATAGTAAATAGATGTCGCAGCCAACAGGGAAAACTAACAAGCCATCAGATAACATATGGGAACTCCTTGCAAGAATCTTCTGCATCTTTATAGCAATGCAGAAGAAGTGCTGTTAGAGTTAAATTAAGAAGAGAGAGAGAAGGGGAGGAAGAAAGAGAGGGAGAGAGGGAGGGAGAGAGAGAGGGAGGAGGGAAGGAAGAAAAGAAAAAGCAAGCAGCATTTAAAGTCGAAAAACTATTTTCCGAATAATTAGGTGTTGGAACAAAAAATCATACCTATAGCACTTGCCTCACTCCTTATATAAGGAGTAAGCATCTGCCTTCCATCATTAACTTACTCCCAAATGCCATAACTACAGAAATGGGTTTCCTGTGTCTCAAAGAAAAAGTCTCATTTACATTTAATAAGTTCTAGTTAAGCAAATAAAGAAAGCTATGTTTCTATTTCAGGAAGCTTTACATCCAAAGCGCGCACATGTGTGTGTTTAAGCTTGCTGCCTGAAGCTTCTGTTCTGAGGGACAGTCCACACAGACTAGGATGCACTAATGTTGATGTCGCCATGCTTATGTTGGTAGATTGACTGTGGTGAGTTCCAGGATCCCAAGGTCTACTGCACTCGGGAATCTAACCCCCACTGTGGCTCTGACGGCCAGACGTACGGCAATAAATGTGCCTTTTGTAAGGCGATGGTGTAAGTATCATACTCATCAAAATCAGAAACATGAAAAAGCTGGGAGAAAATTTATCATCACTAAGAGTATTATTTCCAGACATTTTCTTTTATACCAAATTACATGTTACTAAGGTACCAATTTCTATTCATTCCTTTTTTTTTTTTTAAGATTTTATTTATTCATTTGAGAGAGAGAGAGATCACAAGCAGGGGGAGAGGCAAAGGGAGGAGAAGCAGACTCCCTGCTGAGCTGGGAGCCTGACTCATCTCAGGAACTTCTCAGGAGACCTGAGCTGAAAAGGCAGATGTTCAACAATCTGAGCCACCCAGGCTCTCCCCACTCATTCCTCTTCTATTTTGATGAAAATGAGCCATTGAAAAAAAGCCCTTTATCAAAGAATAGAGGAAAAGATCATCCTTTAGAATGCAGTCTAGTCAAACTTTACCTAGGATCCTAGGAAGATTCCATCAAAGACCATATGTAGTCTTTACACGTCTGTCAGGAACAGAACAGATGCTGTAGATTTTAGACACTAAACTGTGACCTTCCCAAGGGATCAGTTTGTAATTAATAAAAATTTATCCAATCAAGCAATCTTTTAGTCTAATTGATTGCCCTAAAACCAAGGATTTTAACCCTTGTTTAAGCCAGAAAAAAGTCTCGTACTCCTCACCACTGTCTTCATTTTCCGATATTAGAGTTTCTTCCATGAATGTCTTAATTTCACTCAACTTTGCTGTAAAATGGCTAAACACAGGGATTATATAACTCCCTACTAATAATAACAGGGCCAGGCACATAGAATGAAATTAATACATTAATATGGGCCTACTTGCTTATGTAACATATCTGATTAACACCAAACTTCCCCAGAAGAAAGGCAGAAGGGTAAACAGAGATTTGATTTAATGGACACTTATTGCTGAGGAGAACTGAACACATGGCCTGCTATAAAGTACCAAATGGCTGAATATCTGGTTCAGCCTCTTACATCTTCTCATGAGGACTGTGACACTGGAGTCCCTTAGCCATTATCTCTGTCACTTTAACCTTTTCTGGTTGTATGCATATTTCCTCTCGGAGAATGAACAATTGAAACCAGGAGGTCAAACCTGGGTAAAACGCTGAAATTTGTTTAAGATTCATGTTTTCTATAATTTGTCCAGATGTCATCTCTGAGTACATTTAATTAACCTCTGCCAAATCCTAAACGTGGATACCTGTAGAATCAAAGGATTGCAGGGACCTTGCACTGTCAAAGCTTTTTCCAATCTTTGTAATGAATACTAATGATATTGCACTGAGCATACATTTGTCTTTCTCTTTTATAGGAAAAGTGGTGGGAAGATCAACCTAAAGCATCAAGGAAAATGCTGAATTTTGTGCAATGTTTGTGCTGACTTCCAGCCACTTCCTTTCTCATTTCTATTTTTCTCTAATGGATCCCTTAAATTTATAAAGATGTGCCTTCTACTCTGCCTGGCTCTTGGGTAATTCAGGATGTATCAATTTCCCTGGATTTGCTTGTCATTAAAGTAAATTCTGTAGAAGCATTGCTTGGGTTTCTACTTTGAGATCAAAAATACATTATGGATTGAGATCTTCATTGAGATCACGGATACATTATGGAACAATTGACCTGGCACAAACTTGGATAAAAAGACTTGTTTTTTGGATCTAAATCAACCAAGCAGTCGCTATGGGATCTTGGGAAAATCCCTTCCCCTTTCCTGTTTTTGGAGTTGCCATATAGATGATGAGAGATTTTTAACAATGTGACAATACATTATGTTTATAATTATTTTACAATACCTATTATTTAGGTGGTAGATCCCATGATACAACCTCTTCCTAAATTCAGGAAAAGTGCTTTATATAAAAATAAAACACTCGTCCTCCCTAGACCACAGTTTTCTCATCTCTTTGGAATGGTAGAGTTTTGTACATAGGTGTTACCCTTTGTGTATACAATGGAATGGGACCTAACCAAACTGGAGATGCATCTGAACTTTAGCTCAAGAGCCGGGGAGATTAGGTTACACTAGGCAAAATATACATCTTCTACTCTTTGAAGTGTGGGATTTGTGCTCTTCCATGTGTAAAGACTATTCCCCTTGCTGGAGAAAAATGCCCACAAGATACATAGTTCAGGTAAGGAAACTAGACGAGGGTGGATCGTTGAGTCACACGGACCAGAATGCGAGTCGCAGGCTCTCACATGAGCTGTGTGTCTTTGAACAAGTCATTTGACTTCTTTCCTTTACAATGTACTCATCTGTAAAATGGGGATACTAGTATCTACCTCCTAAATTTGTCATGAAGATTAAGAAAATGATATATGTAAGCAGTTAAACAATCTCTGATGAGTAAGGAGAGCTCAAAAATCAGTAGCTTACCCCACTATGTTCCATCATCCGTTTCAGCATAATACAATCCTCACCATCCAGGATACTTTTGTTCTTTTTCTCAGTATTTAAATAGTTTTTTTTAAAATGTCTACCTTCCGTTCTTTCAACATTTTTGAAAATTCTCGTCATGTGGGGTTTTTCTCTGTCCTGTTTTATCTGTATACTAAGTGCCCTGTTCATAAGCAAAATTATGCTCTTTTCTCCTCTTCAGTTTCTACTCCCTGGTATAATTTAGTTACTTCTTATGTAGACATGTAGGCACTACGTGTACTTTGGAAACTGATTCATTGTGAGTCTTTGAACATATTGTCTCCTGACGTGGCCCACCCGTCCTTTCTCCTATTGGAACTGTCCCCTCCAGCCGGACCTGGTTCCTGTTGGCTGTCCCAACAAAATGTCTGTTTCCACCACTGTTCCCGGCCCTGCCTGGAAGGCCTCTTGCACCACCTTGGGCCACCTCAGCCACCCTTCCTTCCTCATACAAATCTCTTGCCTACTTTACCTCTTAAGACTACCATTTATTTCAAGGTTTATTTCAGGTACCATAACTGGGTAAATAATTCAATTATTATCTCTTGAATAGTTCTGAACTATTCTTTGGGGGTGGAAGGGAAGCACCTAAAAAGTAAACCACAGAAGGCCAGAATCGTGTATTTCTTAGAAAGAAGAGGCAAGTCACATATAAAATAATCAATGACCAGAATATAGGAGTTTGGGTTCAGAGATGTATGCATTTGTCAAGCCTTGGTGAATACACACTTAAGATTTCATATCATAGTTTGCAAATTTGACATCCAAGGAAAAGAATGTAAACATGTCGTGTAGTCTTTTCTTTACATGTTGTGTGGTCTTAATTCCAATATGCATAGTGAAGTTTTTCAGACACTGATACTGATGTCTGCAATTTACTTTGAATTGCATCAAGGATGGATTAATGGACAGATACATGACAGAACTAGCATAGTAAAAGAGCAATGGTACAATCTAGCACATAGGTTTCAAGGGGTTCACTCTAAAATTATTTTAGTATTGCTGTATGTTTAAAATTTTTTCAGTAAAAATGTTTCTTTAATGATTTTTAAAAACACAGAGTTTCTTCCAACAGAAGCAAATATTCATAATTCTGTTTCTGTTTCTCATTATGGTGAGAGCCAGGACAGAACACACTGTTTTGAGTATGGCTTGTACTATTCTCTTGAAAGCATAAGAAAATAATTCATTTGATCTGAACACTCCTATCTGTCATTAAACCTTCAAACGACCATGGGAACATTGTCAAAACCGGACCATACCAAATTCATAAGCACCGAGTATCCTCAGGCGTTTTTCTTTCCCTGCCAAGCATTGCCAAGTCACATTTCTCTGATCTGTTTGCCTCTTCCTGGTTTTTGGAAGGCAAATTCACTGCAGAAATGATGTTCTGTATCAGTGAGTAGGCTGAGTGAGGGGGCCTTGTCCGGAAGTTTGTCTGTGCCTATGTAAAGTTTTCTTGAAGTAGTAAACATAAACATATGCACCCCCACACACATCCTCTAAAATTGAGAGTGAAGCAACAGCGGGGGGGAAAGGCCAGAGAAAATAGTAACTAAGATAAAAGACTAAAATAACTCCCCACAACAAATTAGGTGAGGCAGTCTATCACTGATTGCCCATGCTCCCATTGATCAGCACCCAAACATGATCACATTTACATTTAGCTATGGTCGTGAAGTTGCAGCTCCATCGTCTGAAAGAGGAGGCTGAGGTGGAGGGATATAAAAGATTCATCCACAATCTTGTAGCCAGAGAGCTGCGGAGTCTCTACTCGGGATGGTCACTTCCATCCCATATTCCTAAACTACTTTTCATATAATCTAGGTAATTTAAGTGACTTGGATATAAGTGTTGAATTGGAGGGATTAGTCCTATATGTTTGGAGACACCAGAATTACAAGTATTCATAAACTTAACAAAGGCTTAAAAGAACATGCAAAGAGGGTGACAGTATCTACCATAATTCCTAACATGTGAACACTGATGTTAATTTCATGATGGGGCTAGAGTTGTAGCCTGAGAAATCCTGGTTCAAAAGGGTTACTAACTCTGAACCAGGCATTCTCTGAAATGTTCTTGGTCTTTCTCTGACTTTCTTCTTTTCTTCCTCCGAGCTGGTATCTGTAACTTTACAGAATTCGAGTGCATTTCATTTCTGTAGTTTGACCTAAGGCAAAATAAGCAGAACACATGTCTTCTGCTTTTGTGTGAGAAGATTCAGACCTAACCTAATAAGGGAAGGGAATCCTTGCATGGCCCCCATTTAGCTCACTTCCTTTAGATTTGATGAGACATGTACACTGAAAGAATACACATCATAAAGCACAATTCCATAAGTTTTAGTATACTGTATTTCCAGTTTCATTTGTCTCAAGTGGTTTTGGTTTTTGTTTCTGTTTTGGGTTTTTTTTGTTTTTTTTTTTAATTTCCCTGTGGATTTCTCCTTTGTCTGCTGGGTGGTGGTTGTTGTTTGTGGAAACGTGTTGTTTAATTTCCACCTATTTGTGAGTCTTCCCATTGTCCTCTCTGATTGATTTCCGTTTTCATAAGTTTGTGATCAAAAAAGGTATTGATATGACTTCAGCTTCCTTAAATTTGGTAAGACTCATAGGGCCTAACAAATGATCTGCCCTAGAGAATGTTCTGTTTGCACTCAAGAAGAATGTGTGTTCTGTTGCTGTTGGATGCCCTGTTCTGTTCCACTTCATCCATCAGGCCTAAAAGGAGTTCGAATTCAACATCTCCTTTTTAATGTTATGTCTAGATGACTTATCCTCTGTTGAAAAGGGGGATATTACAGTGTCATTGTCTGTTTCTCCCAACAGTTCTAGGAGTCTTTGCTTTATATATTTAGATGCTCCAGTCTTGGGTGCATATATATTCACCCTTGTTTTATCCTCACGATGAAATAACATTTTATCATTATATAATGACCTTCTTTGGCTCTTAGTGAAGTCTTCACGAAAAACAAAAAAGTGTAGAAGGTAAAAATAAACGGGAAGATATCCTCTGTTCATAAGCTGGGAAGAATTAAAATGGTTAAAATGTCCATAGAACCTAAATTGTTGTGCAGATTCAATGCAATTTCTATCAAAATTCCGATGGTATTTTTCACAGAAGTAGAAAAAAATAATCCTAAAATTCATTTGGAACCACAAAAGACCTTAAATAGATAAACTACTGAGAAAGTCTTGAGAAAGAAGAGCAGAGCTGGAGACATCACTCACACTGATTTCAGATCATTTTATACAGCTAAAGGAATCAAAGCAGCATGGTAGTAGCTTAAAAATGGACACATAAAACAATGGAACAGAATAGAGAACCCAGAAATAAATTCACACATAAATGGTTAACTAATCTTCAAGGAAGCTGCCAAGAATACAAAGTAGGAAAGATAGTCTTGTCAATAAATGGTATTGGGAAAACTGGATATTCCTATGCAAGAGAATGAAGTTTATCTTAAACCATATACAAAAACCCTCTTGAAATGGATTAAGGACTTAAACATAAGACCTGAACTTGTAAAACTGCTAGAAGAAAACAAAAGGAAAATCTCGTTACTTTGGTTTTGACAGTGACTTTCTGGATATGGCATCAAAACACAAGCAATAGGTGCATAACTAAACAAGTGTGACTACATCACACTAAAAAGGCTTCTGCACAACAAAAGAAACGGTCAACCAAATGAAAAGGCAATGGGAGAAATAGATATGGGAGAATACAGAATGGGAGAAAATATTTGCAAACCATGTATCTGATAAGGGGTTAATATCCAAAATACATAAGGAACTCATACAACCCAAAATTTTTAAAAATTGGCTAAAGAATGGGTAGAGGAACCGAATAGATATTTTTCCAAAGAAGATGTATAAATGGCCCATAGGTACATAGAAAGAAACTCGACATCATTGACCATTAGGAAAATGCAAATCAAAACCACAATGAGGTATCAGCTTACACCTGTTAGGATGGCTATTATCAAAAATTCAAAAGGTAACAAGTTTTGGTGAGGTTATGGAGAAAAAAATATTTTATAA